GTTACTCAAGACTCAATGGCTCAGACAGTTTGCTTGGGCCAAACTGAGTATATATTCTTCCAAAACTTTCTCTCCAGAACTAATGTTGATAAAATCTATACTACATTACACAGATTTTTCTTTTCTGAACAGGAGGGACTACAACAAAATCTGTTAAAGGTATTGACAAGGAAAAAGTTAAATAAAGAGGTGTGTAGCCCTACAGGATCTTCCTTCTTGTCATTTTTCCCAAATGAATCTCCAGTATCAGTCATCACCTGAGCAAATAAATACCCATTATATGACTAAAACAGGGTTCTCTCTATTACTGGATAGGTGTATGTCCAGTCATAGGAAGGGACATGTCAGCAGCCCCTAGCCTAGCAGCCTGACACACAGGCACCACCTCCTATGCTGTGCCAGGGAGAATTGTCACATAAAAGTCATGTGATGAAAGCCACATTCCATCACATAAGGGGAGAAGAGGCTGCAACACATGGTCTCAGAACATCTCTGACCTACCTGAAAGATGAGCACTACTGAGTCAAAGTCATGACTACTAAGAAAGCCATCCTACTATGGCAATGGAGGTAGAGGTGCTGTGGGTTTGAACACAGGATTTTTCTGTCTTCAACTGAGTAAGGATCTACACAAAGCTTGCTGACCTTCTGCTGTGAGTCCCCTTCCAAGATCTTCATGGATCCGAAAGCTTCAGTCATATACCTGAGGTACGTCTTGGTGAGCCTCCGTCACAGTTCCAGGAGAGTAGATGGCATTCACCTCTGAGTTGTCTGCTTCATTATCAGATGATACAATAGGGCTGGCTGTGCAGCTGTATCCCCAGGTGACACAGCAACATTGGAAAACACATTCAAATAAAATGGTCTTAACAACAGATTTACAGTAGACTGAAAACTCAAGTGCAGGATCTAGAGAATTCCTTTAGGTATGGCAGCTTCCCATCACCACTCTGTGTAGTGGAACAAGCCTGGAAATCCAGCCAAACTGTGCATCGTGTCTCCCACCACCACATATTACGCAGCCTCTGTTCTGACTGGAGCACACTCCTTATACAAGCACTGGAAACATCCTTCATGGCACAACTCCATAACTGGCTCTTCTTACATCTGCACACTATCAAGTGGGTATAAAGTTGTCAGTACCCTTTTGTTTTCTCCAAACCTTTTTATGTAAAAGGTCCACAGTAGGTCTCAACCTTAATTATTTACAGTATTCTCAATATGGTCACAAAGCATAAGAACAATTATGTACAGCAAAACATTGCATTGCTATGAAAGTTATAAGATATATGGGCAACAGGATTTTGTCCAGATATTTCAAAACACTGCAAATGCTGCAATGCGAACATTAACCAGATGCAGAAAAAGAGAAATTATCCAGCGACCTTCTCACTTTAGCTTTATTTCTCAGGAAGCTACTCCCATCAATTATTTTACCTAGAGATCAGATTGACCTTTTCCCCTGTCTTCACTTTTCCCAACCTTCATTTTTGGTGGCATGATGGGATAAAAGCCAGAAGGACAGACTAATGCTAAAAGCATCCCTTTTTAATACTTTCTTTGCATTTCACATGGATGAAGGAATAAAATCCTGACTTGAACACAGATGCAGCAGACATGCTAATGCATTATGTAAACCACAGAAATAATTTATAACTTCCTGAAAGCAACTCATTTTAAGTTGTACTACCAGTGTAATGGCATAATTTAAAAGATGGATTTCAGAAAGCAGAACCTGATCTACAGAGTATATTGATAATTAATGAAAAGGAAAATGGCTATAAAAAAAAATAATCCACCATCACAAAAAAAACTATTCCAGTTTAGGAATCCTTGCTTAAACTTTGTTCGCTGTCATGTTTTGTTCACTGAAAGTATTTAGTCTCCATAAACATGGATGCTGAGATTTCAAAACACAAGCTCATTTCATTATGAATAAATTCTAATATATACAAGGAGATATTTCAGCATTACATTTCAAGTAAAGGTCAAAGAGGTTATCTTTATTCTTCAACAAACAATATTTATGGAGCATGCAAGTATGTATTTCACTCCAGAATGATGCACAGACTTACTGGTGCAGTAAACAGCCTGTCGCACGGCTATGACACATCACCTGAACCAAACTGTGCCAAAAGTTAGTTGAGGCATATAAATTAGTACTAAACTCACACACAAAACATGTGATTTCACCAAAGCTGTACTGCATCAGATTTCTTCTGACTAAATCCTTCAAAACTTTCAGCAGTAGCATTACAGGAGCCAGCATGACTACTTCTGAATGAATAAACTCTATTTTTTGCCAAAAAATTGGCAGGAGAACAAAGCAAAAAACTAGAACAGTAAAACCTGAAAATATTAAGGCTTGAATCAACTTCACAACAGATACGAAGCTATTTTTCCCTTCCCTAAACATACTTTATATTACATATAAACTACATATCCTACTTATTTATAGTATACCTCTTTAAATACAGGATCACATTTTCAGGCAGATTATCAGAGTTCTATTGAATCACTGGGATTAAAAAAAGTATTTAACCTAAATACATTTGGATGAATCATGCATCCAGTTGTTGAGTAGGCTTTTTTCAATTTTGCACAAGACAGACACTTAAAACAAACTTTGCTGTACCCAGCATCTCTTGCACTAATCCTAGATGATACTTTATTAAAATTTAGCACTGCAATACTCATGTTAACAACTTCTCAATTTTTCAAGTAAGGCCAGTATATTATTTGTAATTTTAATTTTGTTCCTTATATTTATTAGAAAAAACACTTTGAATAATTAAGCCTAGGTATCTAAAACATTTGAAAAGCTTGCAATTCTGACCTCTTTAAGACCATTTAGTATTGACATTCTGAAAGGAATTGTGTAATTTTAAAATTGTAATAAAGAGACTTGGACTAGCTGTGCCATTTATTACATAGCTGATTACTACTATGGGTGGGGTGGTTCTTTTTTCCATTTTTTTTTTTTCCTCATTCTTTCACAGAAAACTCTTGCCCAGGCAATCTGACTTGAAAGAAATAGATCACTTGTGAACTGCCTGCACTATTTATCCAACTAATCCACGCCAAGCAGGACACAATGCAAGTTTACTTTGGCTTAAGCTTTTTCAAGAGCAAATATGTGGCAGTGCATGAGTGTTGTATTTCTAGAAGGAAATGTTTTCCTTAATTTGCTGTTACTGAAGCATATCTGTATTTGACATACATAGGAACTACAGAATCACACACCTGGAAATATATATAACCTCATTTGTTAATACCAATTAACATAACAGTTAAGTTCTCTGCTTACAATAGAGGTAAGCAGTCAGACCTTGTATCCAATGTTTTCCTGTATCAAAATTTAGATACAAGATAATATTAACTATGAGCACATACTATTCTGACAAGAAACAAAAATGCATTAAAGTCTCTTCAGTACCACAGCAGTATTTAATGGATACTCAACTTTGGGCATTTTTGTAATGAAAATAGTAATAATCGTAATAATAACCACCATGTTTAGATTTATACTAAATATCCTGCCAAGAATCTTACAGCCTGGTTGCCATTCAGTTATTGATTTTGTAATCTATGCTGACTGTTGAGAAGGAAAACATAAATCTTTAACACCCCAAAGTGTGTTTGCAGTCATAACTTGGAATATATAGGTCAAGATAACATTATTTACTATCTACTGTACTTCAGTATTTTATTTCTTGCCACTCAATGAAATCACTTAAAAAAGGAAAAAAGATCAGAAAGCATTCAGTGATAGTTTTAATTCTTGCCTTCTAATTTTCATACTGCTGAGCAACTACAAATACACAACAAAGATAAAAAATACCCAATCAGACATAGTTTCACATCTGCTGTACACTTTTCAAACTCCCATAGTTGCTCTTTTAAAAAATCTCCTCTTCCATTTGAATCACAAAGAGAATAATTTCCCACACATCAGCTGGGCTGTCAAGTAAGCATATTTCAGTAGTCTTCAGTCTTATTTAGTAATTTGTTTTTCTTTCACCCTGATGTACTGTAATTTCATAATCAATGTATTCCTGGTCTTATTATGCACTTAAAATTAATGGCTGAGTTCCCATACAGGAGATTGGGCTTTTTTAAATTGAAATGTGCATCAAGCCCAGTCTTGACAAGAAGTCTTGGGAGTAAATACTCCAAAGATTTGCATCCCCCCCCTTCCAATTCTTTAATACCTAGAAAACTGCTAATAAGAATATCTTTATTGTATCTTCAGGCATCGTTTAAACTACTAACAATATAGGTACCAATTTACAATAATTTCAGATTTTATATTTATGTGGTTTATATTCTACTCCTATCGTTTTAAGATTTAGATCAGAATATTTAAATTGTTACAAAGAATAAAATCACTATCCTAAAAAGTTTTCCTTGATTATTTTTCCCACCAAATAATTACACTAGAGAAACACAATGTGATTAACAGGTCTTCACTGATCGAAAATCCAGAAAAATAAAAACTTCCTGGCTCCTTAAAAGTCAAAGGTATTTACTGAGCATTTCTGCTTCTTTCTAAAAAACAAAACCAAGACCCTAAAACCCCAACAAAAAACAAGCAAAATAAAATATATAAATACACAGCCTGAAGAGCAGTCAGCATAGGTTTATTTGTATGTGTAAAGTCTATGTCAGTGGTTATTAATGCAAAATTATTTTAAAAGCCAGTGCAGCTGTCCTTCTGCAATAAAGCAAGTAGACTGGCTTACATTTTACATCAAATCCTAGTCAGCAGTGTTTCCCAATTTTAAAAGATTTTATATAAGCTGCACAACATGTTCAGTGCCAAAGATATTTGTCACCAACTTGCTTTCCTGATCTCTTCCAGCAAAACATTGATAATGACACTGTATCTTACACACTGTTTTCTTGATTTAAATGCTGATCCCTACTAATTCCATCATCACCTTTTAAACATTCTTTTCAAAGTAATATTCTAGATCTGTTGAAAAGTAAAGAGCTTCTTACCATTCTGATCCAGTATTTTCCCCGTCTCTGGAGTTCAGCAGCAAGGAGCTGTTGCTGTTGCACTGCTTACTAGAGACACCCGAGGCTTTGGAAGCAGAGAATGTTTTATGTGGTTAAAATGTATCACCACTGATTATATTTCAGTCCCTCAATTCCTAGCCTTGATGCTCTGGAAATCAGCCAATCCAAGCGATAAAGAGGTTTGCAACAAGAAGTTGCAGAATTTTCACAGCGAATGCTTCATGGAAATGTTTTGCTTCTTGATACTTGTTTTTTATATCCACTAAATGTTAAAATAAATCCTGGCTCCCTCTTCCCTCCTCCTCTTCTCTCTCTTTTTTTTTTTTTCTTTTTTTTTTTTTTTTTTCAAAATGAGATTCAGATATTGTTCACAAGGGACTTTAGCACTTGCTACAGCTAGGCACAGTGCAGAAAGGCATCATGCCAGATTACGCATACATCTCTGCCAAGATACCTGAATTTTGACTTGCAACACACCCTGTTATTCCAAACATGGATCTTCCTAAGCCAAAGCTCCTAACTTTGCCAAAATACACAGTGTTTTTGTGAGGCAGCCAAATGCCCCTTCAGATTAGCTAAGAGCATCTTCTATTTGCAATGTGGTTGCTCTTTGTTGATTTCTTTTTTTTTTTTGCAAACACTTTTTTCCTAGTGAAGACAAGGTGGTAAATTCCAAAGGGATGAAATGATCAACTGGCACTTCTAGTATACGCTTCTACGCCCATCCGTCTCAAGAATATACATCACAGAAAATTTCTCTGCAGTGCTGTAACTATCATTAATTACTTAGTTAATATTATAACTGTCTTAATGTTCCTAGTGATAACCGAGGATGGTGCTGTGCTGGATGTGATGCAAAACAAACAAACAAACAAGGACAGTCCTGACTACATGGACCTTGCCATTAAAGAACACAGTAAGATATGACAAAGGAGGAGGCAGAAGGAACCAAAGCAGACAATACTGGCTAGTTTGATATGTACTTAGAGTAATATCTCAGCAACTTGACCACTTCCAAGCTTTTGGTCATGACAATAAAGGAGTTTTAAAGAAAGTCATCAAGAGGCTATGAAGACTATCTTGGAGATGTTCTCAAGAAGAAAGCATATTATTGTACTAAAAGAGCATGAGACAGCCTGAAATTTTAATGTATGGATGAAAGAGGATGAAGCAATGCTTCTGCAATGACTGAGAGTTTGTAAAAGTGTAGAAAAGTTAAGAACATGCTCTGTGCAAGGAGGGAAAAGAAATTCAGAAGAGATGCTCATAGCTTTCTCCTCTTCTCTTTGCAACAGGATACGATAATGATTTTCACTGAATCTATTTGAACGGGTATGAGAGTGCAGGACTGGCCTGAAGAAAGCAAGGGAAAGGACACTGGACTAATTAGCAAGCTTGTTTAAAAGGTGAAGAGCAGCTGGATTGAAGTTTTGATTGTTGAAACAGCAATCAAGTTATTTTAAGAAATTACACAGAGAAATAACATTTAGTCATCAATAATGCTGACTATGCTGTTTCTGAACTTAAAGACAAAGTAACTGAGACACATGTAATGGACATCGTGGCAAGATTGTTTTCCAGAGTGACAAGGAAGCAGCAGTAGAGGAGTCTACAGTAGGTCTGTTTTAGCCATGCTGAGCTGTTGATATCTAGCTGAAGAGTCACAAAGCAGCACTCTCTAGTTCTGGCCGAAGAAGAAAGGCCTGGAATAAAGAGATTAATTTGCAAGCCATCATGACAAAGATGAATTTGATTTATATTTACATATGAGATTATCTGATACAAATAGAAGAAAGGGACCAGGGTTCAACCCTTAAGAAACACAGCAAGACAGAGTAGAAAGAGGCACTGAAAGAGTGATTAAGAAGGTAGAATGGAAAAATTAGGCAAAACAGGTTCTACAAAACCAAGAGCGACAAAATTTGAGAAAGAAAATGGACAACAGTATACAAGGTAGCTTACAGAATAAAGAAAATCAGTGTAGAGCCTTGGTTTCACTGATCAGAAAGCTGTCTGCCGAGACTTTGCCTTGAGCAGTTTCAGCAGCATGGAGGGAGCAAGAGATGCACTGGAAAGTGCCCAGTGTCCCATCAGAACTTTGTCAGTGACAGTAAACAATTCATACAGCCATGTCAGTCAGACTGCTCATGGGATTCCCATCGGGGAGGCTCCACTTGTGATGTCACCGAGACCCAACAGACAATTCTGTGAAACAGTTCAGTTACAATCAATCAGGCTACAGAGGGCTTGCTCATTTCAGAAATAAAACCTTTTTCATCAGAATGCTTTCAGCCATCTTGCTAGTCTGTATGAATCTTACCTGCAATTCTTGAAATTTCTGAAACCCTTATATTGACAAAAGATATCTACTGGGATGGTGATCAGATGCTGAATACAAAGACATGCAGCCAAGTTTTGGCCCTGTATGTTTCTACTCAAAATGTGTATGGAACAGGGTGATATAGCCCTATGCATACATGCAAACAATTTTCAACTCTGCCTTTCAGTCAATGAAGCCAGGATGCTTCCATTTTTACTGAACAGTTAAGAATTAACTGAATGCATACAAATTTCAGAGTGAATTCTGGAATAGTCTTCACATATTTAAAATGCACACCCCTCCCAAATATCATCTCCTAAATTCAACTAAAAGACATTTCTATACAGGACAAGCACTATTAACTTTAAACTCTTTCCAACACACACAGAAAAAGGAATGTCCACAAAGGGAAAGAATTGCATACTGATATAACTGCAATAGCTTAAAACTGAACTTCAACTTTTACATCTACATAAGCCTTAAAGATGATATCCTCCCCACCCCCTTCAATTCTTAAAGGATCAACAAGCAAAGGGAGCTTAAATATTCTGGACAGGTCTAGAATTTCTCTTCTTTATAAGAAGAGACCATCTTCCTCACAAGTTTGAGTTAAAACCCTTAATTCAATTCTTGCTGACTGCTTACGACCCTCTCATGCAGGGGCAGGTAAATATTTGCCAGACTTTAACCCTCTCAGCAGATTGTCATCAGGAGCCCCATACTTCAGAAGCTATTTCAAAAACAAAACGTTCTCAAAGGTATCTGATCACATTCTGTAGGCACCTGTAGAAACAGTCAGCAGACCACATAGTTTACACATTTATTGCCACATTTTTCTTAAGCAGTGGCATAATGAATGCTCTAAATGATTAAGGAGCACACACTGAAGCTGAAAAACTGAAGTTGAATTAAAAGTAATCTATTTTTGTGATGAAAAGAACTTGTGTTGCCAGATCTACTCCATTTCACACATGCATATTCTTTGCAGCACGTAAACCTTCACAATAGAGCCCTCAATCTGCAGCAGTTGAACAGTTGAAGTAAGAGGTACCAAACATAAAGCAACTGATCAAAGAAATGAATTTTTGTCCTGGTATAATTTCTTCCATTTTGGCATTTGATTGCTGTCTGAAGGCAGGATGGAAAAACAAAATACTTTGATTTTTCACTAAATGAAAAGTCCCAATAAATTTAAATGTAAAACTGTTCAGTCATTATGAAACACCATCTCTCCCCATAGGTTGTAACAAATAATGAAAAGATCTATGAACAGCTTGCTATAAATAGTTAGAAATAAATTACAGCTCTAATAAGACAAAAGCATACAATATTATTTGACTTTGCAGAATGAAGATAAACTAGGTTACACGTCTGCAGGAATTCTAAAAGTCAGCAAACCAAAACAGACACAAAACCTCAAAGACATCTATACAAAATAGGAAATCTGTCAACAAAAGACTTAGAATTTTCAAATAATTTGATATTTCACAAAATACATAGTTTTTTTTCCCATTCCTTCTCCAAAATCTTCACTCTCAGAAAAGGTCTAAATCCATCATGACAGTTGAGATCTACACAGAATAACAATATGCACTTCTTAATTTTAGCGATATTCCATTTCATCAGGAATGGGATAGCAGTAAACCAGGGCATAACACAATGAAGACTTTTCCAAATTTTAAGGCACCCAAGTAGCTTAAAATCCAAGCCAAACATTTTCAGTATGGAGTTTAGCCTTTCTTAGCCAGATAAACTTGAACAACAAAAATCTGAATTTTATTGTTAAACACTTAGAGCAAACAAAAACGCTCTTAAAAAGTTCAGTGATAATAGAGAGATGGCTATGCAAGACAGGAGAATGGCTATGGTAGTGAGTATCTCTGTGCTTTTTGCCTTTCTGTATAGAAGCCTGGCAGATGACCAGAGCCATAAGACCTACTACTCTGTGGGAGCAAGAACTCTATTCCTATTTTATTTTACTGTGGCATTAATTTCATACTACAAATGTCAAGATTGCACTTCAGATAGCACCTTCTCCATTTGTTCGGGTCTTTTCACCAGGCCCCTTGTTTCAAGATAACCTCTTTCTAACATCCTGTCAAGCTCACTGTGTATTTTGGCTGTCATTATCAAAACTGTTTTTTGAGAATCAAGTTGTTTTTTCCCCAAAAAAAAGTAAGTGCCTATCCAGCATAGCTATGAAGAAATATGTCCAAAGTGGACTCTGAGTGTAAACTAGTAAATTGCTGTACTTTTACGTGCTAAAAAAGTCATGAACATACGCTCAGAAACACATAAATTATCCATTACTACAAAAATCTAACTAGCACTGGAAATCCAAAGCTGAATGACACAACTATAAATGTCAGTTTTTCACTGCTCATCAGTTTCATTGGTGACATGGAAAAGCAACAGGATTTGCAAGAAAAAAATAAGCTGTTGGAGAGAGAGAAAGAAAGAAGAAAGATGGGAGGAAGGAGAAGAGATGGGGAGGAGGTAAAAAACAAAACAAAACAAAAAAACAGGGGCAGAACAGCAAAGTATCTTAATCTGGACCCCCTTCAAAGCTCACTGGATCCACAAATCAATAGCTAGCACAAAGAACCAACAACCAACACCACCAAAATCAAAGACATCACCTAATCTGTTATTCTTCCACACAGACAGCAGTATTTCTCCTTGCAAGAAGCTTTACTGAAATCTCACATATAAGCTACATCCTGAAACCCCCTCACTCATACAATTAATCCATTAATGTCAACGAGACTTTCCAGTGGTAAAGTCCTGTTCTCCAGGAGACTAATATAAAAGCACAGCTTCAAATACTTCAAATTATGTTGTGAACCAAAAATAGAGGATTAGAAGTTCTACTGGCCTTGCAGTAAAGAAAACTTTTATGGAAAATTCTGTTTGTAAAGATTAGGACTTCACACTAGAAGAAACATAATTTCAAATCAGTGTAAATGCATTCAGATATTATGAAACTGGTACAGCATCTATAGAATATCAGAAGCTACTTACTAATTAAGACTACTCAGCAGCTGCCAAAGGATGAAACATGGCCCTAAATGTTTAGCTGTCTTGTAAAGACTGCATGCATTAATCAGCCCTAAACCAATGTGCCAGCTCACAGATCATAACTGGAGCATGACCCTATCCACAGCAGGTGCTTGCTATTTAAATAGGCAGTATCAATATACGGAGGAGGATGGGTCTTCACTGCCATCAAGACCAAACATTCCTTAGAAGTTTCAAAGAAATATTTTTCCATTATTTTGTGAAGTGCTGAAAGCGAAAGTTAAAGGTAAGAGCAGTTACAACAGTTGCAAAAGTAATGCCATCACATTAGGGAAAAAAAAA